TTTCTACCATGTCCCTTTCTCCACTAGTAGAGCAGGGTATTTACAAACAGAGCTGTGCTCTCTTCCCTTCCTTCTGTTGGCTCCAGTACAACCATCTGTTTTTTCCTTCTGCCCTGTCATTTACAAAGGCCACTGGGGAAATTGCTCCCGGTGCATTTATGATTACTCAGTTTTGCCTGTTCACTCTTTCTATCTCTCTTTTTCTTTCTAATGACTGAGCTTCTCACAAGATATGCTGCCTAGTGTCAGAAAGATGAAAGCTTGTTGTTTGTTGTTGTTGTGTCCATTCAAGTTGTTTCCAACTAATGGCAACCCTAAAGCAACCCTAAAGCATGGGGTTTTCTTGGCAAGAGTTGATCAGAGGGGGTTTATCATTGCCTTCCTCTGAGGCTGAGAGAGTGTGACTTGCCCAAGGTCACCCAGTGGATTACCATGTCTGAGCAGATGAAAATAGTGGGGGAATAAAGATATGGAACAAAATCCTTTTTACCATTTCTCCCATCTTCTCTTGTGTTTTCAAATTTAACCAAAGTTTACATCAGTGTAAATGCAATGCTAACCATGCTTATTTTTTTAAAAAAAAAAGTAGAGAGAGAAAATCATAGATAGAAGGGTGGAGGGAGGAGGAAAGAAAAGCTTGCAAGAGCAGGGTTAATTTTTTTTAGAACCTCTTTTATTATGGAAAATAAAGAAATCACACAATACTACATCTGTCCTCATTGAGTGAATCCGTATGTCCCATGATTCTCTATCTTGAACCAGCTGTCTCTTTGCTATATACCAGAGGCCCATGGTGGTTTTCATGTCCATGTCCATGGGGTAGTAAACACACTCTGAGGTCAACTTTTAAGGGAGCTATCCAAGGTGCCAAAAATGTTCAGTGCTTTAGGATGAGGAAATGAGTGTGGAAGACATTTTGCTTCATCCCTAAAACAATACTGAATCTACCTTGCAGAAATGTTGCAAAGATTACTGCAACTATAAGAGGCACACACATGTGTGCCACTTTGAACATATGAAGTACATTATATATGTACTGATACTTAAGCTGTACTTAATATGCAGAGACACTTAAGTTGTTCAATAATGGCCTACAGGAAATGTTTCATGTGACTCCTCTAGGCAGAAAACTAATAATGAACACAAGATATTGGACTAAGAGAGCTCATCAAAGCATATTTCACTCTTACCATCAATTAAACCCATATAGCTGTGTCTAATGAACAATTGCCCAAGGTGCTGAAGACGCTATCTGGAAAGAAAATCTGAGATACCTGCAATCATCATTTATGAAAAGATAGGTACATTTTGAGAGAACTGGAGAATACGAAGGAAAAAGAAAAGATGGGAAATTATAGACCTGGGATACAATATTGCAAAAATTTCCGGCTCAACAAAGGCAGCGACCCTAAGCGTGCTTGCTAGAGAGTAAGCTACATTCAACATTCAGCACTTCCCTGACCATATGAATTGTCTAAAACTGTATTAGGGGACAGGAGCCCACTGGCAATACTAACCCCCAAGCAAAATCTAAAGCAGGGGTCGGCAACCTACGGCCCGCGGGCCAGTTACGGCCCAGGGCCCGACACTTACCGGCCCAGGCGGACCCCTGCCGCCACCGCTGCCTGCCACCGCTGCTGTGCATTTTGTTCACTGCATGGCCGTGCACACTGCGACTGCCATTTTGCTTTCCAAAATGGCGGCTGTGATGCGTTTGGGCGAATTCGCAGGTGCCTCCGCTCCAAGGTGAATTCCAAGGTGCCTCCACTCGATCCTGAGGTGAATTCGCCCAAGGATCGG